AATGTACTGATATTCTTAAAAGTCTTTGGGACTGGACGTATTTCTGATCCTTGATAAATATTTTCAAATACCCTGACATCTCCAGCAGACCTTTCTCTGGGGCTTCCTTTGTAAAATGGTAAAGTTGGCCAGAATGATGTATCTTTGGGGTTCCTTCCAACTCTGATGAGTTTCTGAAGCAGTGCTGTCTTCATTGAACAAAAGGGCCTCAAAGCACAAGACCAATACCGTCTGGTAGGAGAAAGTATCCAAGTTCTTATTCTGACAATGAGGGTAGAGTGTTGGTATTAGTTTACAGAGGGCTCTATTGACATTCTCTTTTTTTTGTGGGCAGTGGAGATGAGGACCAGAGGTTGTAGGTACCAGGGTAAACCAAGTCAATCCCACTACCAAAGCTAGACCACTAGTCACTAAGCCTGACTTTCTGACATTGTGTGAATCTCAAACAACATGGGAATCTATTTCCCTGTCCTTGTTTACATGACAGAAGGAAGATTGTACACATAGAAGGAAAAGGAGCACAACAGGGGAGCTCCTTTTCCTTCTCTTCATCCTCTTTCTCTTCATTGTTAGTGATGCTTAATGAGGATTTTGAGAATCACCACTGACTGACTAGATCTTTGGCCCTATCTTCAAAGTGGAGATGACGAACACAGTTGGGCCATAGGGACCTTCCAGTTAGAGGCCAACAAGCTTTTGGGACCTGGCACAAACCACAAGTCAATGATCTGAGGGAAACCAATCTCTGCTCAAGGCTGATTCAAGGAAGGGATTGGAAACTGGAATTTTGGAAACATGTCCTTTTTTTCTTACTGGCAGAGTAGATTTCACTTCATCACCAGGGACAGGACAGCAAAAAATGGTGTTTGGATCCAGGACTGAAAGGCCCCCATGACCAACTATATCCCTTGTAGCTGATTATGATCCCCTGGCTATATATTATGTCCCTCCACTGCAACTCATTGACTGACTGTGATCCTTCTCATTGGCTATGACCGCCTGACTGACTGCTCTCTCCCTGGACTGAACTTCCCAACCAACTAGGAACCCCTGCCCACCAACCCATCCACCCGCTTGCCCACTGAGAGAGTTGGCATCTCTGGCAATTGGAGGCATTAAGAATTCACACTCACGCCCAGCTGCAGCAGGAGGTGTGCTGGTAGGAGAGGAAAGAACATTGGATAACGATACGTGGCTAGGGCTAGAAAGATTGGTTACATCCTGGCTCTGGCTTGTGACGGAGGACTGTCTCCTGAGAGCCCCCTGAAAGGAAGCGCCACTCTTGAAAGTATTGACTACTTCAATCTGCAACGGAGGAGAGAACGAGACAAGTTGCGAAAAGGATGGACACAACAGCTACACAACTGACAGGCATGACAACCAAAATAAGAGCAATAATTAATAATAATAATAATAATTAATAATAGCAACAATAACACCAGCAACAGCAACGATAATAATAATAATAATATCACTTAAATTTAAAAAAAATAAAAACAAATAAACACAAACTAAAATGTCTTAAAGAATTTCTGCCTAGCCCCACCCCCTTTTGGAGGCTCTAGACCTGGGAGTCCCCCAGCCTTGAAGGCTTCTCTGGTTGGTTTCTCTTGTGAACTGCAGTTCTCTCTCCTAGTGAGGCAAAAGTGGGGAGAGGGGCTGTTTCCCAGGGAATAAGAACTTCTTTCCCATCCCTAGCTACCAATGAGGACCAAAATAAAGCCTTCTCCAGGCTGTAGGTCAAAAGAGGAGGTCCTAGATGAGAGGGTCTTGGAGAATGTTGGGCAATGCTTATACCTTGGGCCCACCTTCCTTCTCATGGTGTGAGTCAAGTGGGTTATAGGGATAGACTCTACCCTGAGCCCTGCTAGGATCTCCATCAGTATCCCTCATTGAATCCCATGGCTTCATCTCCATTTAGGATATGAGACTCCCCCACCTCCACCCCTAAACAGACATGTCCAGGTCATTTCCTAGATTTGGGGTTTGGGTGGATAGAACATCAGCTCTTTAAATGGCACACCATATCGTGGACTCTGGTTTATTGGAATCATCCTGAAATACTCATGCTGGAAGAGGAGGAGATAAAGAAAAAGGCCTATCAGACAAACTGCCCCTTTCCTCCATACAAGGTAGGCTCATTCACAGCTCAGCTGAACAGATGCTACTAGGGTTCTGAATAATTGCAGTTATGACTGATTTAGATAGCACTTTAAAATTGGCCAAATACTTTACATACATTAGCTCAGTGAAGCCTCCTAACAACCCTGGGTGGTGGTAGAGACTGCTGCTAGAGCTATCTTCATTTTACATGTGACAAACCTGAAGTTCAGACAGTCAATCAACTTGCCCGAGGTTCATGCAGGTAGAAAGAGACAGAGTTGGGCTTTGAGCCCAAGCCTTTAACTCAGGGTTTTTTCCACTATTCATTCTTCACACTGCCCCTAAAGCCTTAAAAAATGACTAAGGGAGATCCCTGGTAATGCTAGTATCCCAGGTGTCCCAGAAGAAGCCTGGGTATCGGGCAAAGAATCAGACTCAGAATGACTAGATCTCTTCACCATCCTCCATTTTTCCAGTTCCTGGGCAGTGACATTCAGACTGCTCACTCTCCACAGAGAGAACAGGCCAGATTCACTAACAAGAGTTCTGCCCCAAGATGTACATGTAGAATCAAGGCTGGGGCATAGAACTGGGGAGACAGGGCTCCATAGGCTGGGCCTTGTCCTCTTCCTCACTGGTTTCACTATTTCTCCCCTTTTTTAAATCTATGGGATTGGGAACTCTCACTGTCCCTCAGGCTGTTGGGAGCCTTAGACATGATTTCTTCACTCCCTTGTAAGAAGCAAGAGTGGAATTGGTGGGAGACAACCTCTGGCTCTTAGGGGGGCAAAGGTTACTATAAAGTCTGGTGGTGAGGGCAAGAAAGTTTGGCCATGCCCTGGTTCTGACTTGAGATCCATTATAATAAAAGAAACACATGTAATGGTGACATGTACCCAGGACTATACCCTTCCTGTATGTAGGGTAGATGATAGCATTTCTCCATATGTACACATGCCACCATTACAATCATTCATATTTCTAGAGCTTTTTAAGGTTTACAAAGCATTTTCCTCATACCCCCTCCAAGGTGGGTGGTGTATATATTATTATCCCCACTTTATAGATGAGGAGATGGAAAACCAGTTACACCACTTACTTGTGGTCACTGAGCTAGTAAGTGTCAGAGCACGGATTACTACCTGGGTCTTTCTGTCTCCAAAGGCAGAGCTGTTTCCAGTATACCACACTGCCTATGTATGTTGGAATACTGTGCATTACTCCCATTTGAGGTCCCCAAAGTTGTTGCATGGATCAACAACCAGACATTCAGAATCTCAACAATAAACTATTGAACTAAGTTATTCATAGCTGTGTTTTTCTACATTTGCGAGTACTACACATAGATTTCTGCATATGTATATAACCTACATGCGTTTTTACTGGTGTATACACAGATGCACTTCTACATGTGAGTTTGTGGGCATGTTTTGGTAGATATATGCATGGTTCTATATATAAGCATTTTTGGGGATGGGTTGTATTTTATACGTATGAGTATATTTCTACATGTGAATTTATAGGTGTATTTCTGCCTGTATGTGTCTATGCCAAACATGTTTCTTTTTACACAAATATACGCTACATGTAAATTTCTGCAAGGGCAGCTAGGTGGCACAGTGGATGGAGCACAGGGCCTGGAGTCAGGAGTTCAAATCTGGCCTCAAACACTCACTCGCTGTGTAACCCTGGGCAAGCCACTTCACCCTGTTTGCCTCAGTTTCCTCATCTATAAAAATGAGCTGGAGACAGAAAGGGCTGCAGTATCTTTGCTGCATGTGTGTTTTTGTGTGTCTATGAGAAGGGAGTTTGCATTTGGGTGAATACTTCCTGGATGTGTGTGCACATCCATTGCTGTGGGAAGGTGTGTCACATATAGGCCTTGAACCACGGTTGTGGAGGTCAAATGAAAAGGAAACACTTTGGAAAAGATGAAGCAGCCTACAAAGGGCTCTGGGCTGGGTTAGAGCATCCCCCAATTGGGTTAGAGGCCCCTGATTGTCATTCGCTCTTCCTCATATAGTAAGTGGGGAAGGGGGAGAGGCTGGATGTGCCCAACTACCACTCTGAACAACCAGTGCCAAGTCCTCCCAGTAGAAACCCCAGCCCGGGCTTGCAGTCTGGGACCTGACACTCACCTCTGAGAACCGATGGTCATTTGAAATAGTTGTGGGTGGAAGCAGCTACCCCCACTCTTCCCCACACCACCTCCAGCCTTGCCTCAATCCTGCCAGACTCACTGAGGAACTACAGCTGCCTCCCCTGAGCTCATTATCTGCTTCAGTTATCTCTACTATCCTCTGCACTCCTCCCCTTCCCCGGCCTACTCTAATTGCTTATAAAGTGAAGATAATTAATTAGCCAAGGTGACAAAATGTCATTAGAGGAGACTACTCCAATGGAAATATATATATGTACACACACACACACACACACACACACACACACACACACACACACACACACACATATATAAATCCAGTGGCTTTATTTCAGAGGACACCTACTATGTGTCCTCAGAGCTGGTGGTAGACTCACAGAAATGGGGACATCTCACCTTATAGGATCTTAGGGCTGAGTGACCTATGAAAATAAGTCACAATTGGTGCAGGGGAGGAAGGAAGGGCAGGAGTATGGCTGATTCTCTAATAGACCCAGTAGGATGACATGGCCCTTGGGACTGCCATTGGTGGCAGGAAGAGATTTTTGCTACACTATTGAGGGGTCTGCTGATCAGGACTCTGGACAAGATGGCCATTCCTCTTCTTCACTTCTCCCATCCCTACTCCACCCAAACACTTGCATTTGCCAGAGGTCTTCATGTGCAATGCCCTGGTGTGAGGGTGGAGGGCCCATCACTGCCCACGATGACTCTTAGTTGACCACACTGTACATACCTGAGTTTGGATTCTATTTAGGCCACGGAACCACAGGATCTGTCCACGTCGAAGTTCTCTCTCAGCATGATCAATCTCCTCCACGTCCTCATTGAGTTCTTCCTCAGGGATCTCCTCTTTCTGAGTGAGTCGTCCTGCCTCCTTCAGGAACTTGAGTCTGCTGGTTGGGATTGTGGCAATGACCTAAAAGGAGACAAGTGGAAATATATGTATATATGTATATGTAGGTATGCACACATATTTATATACACATACCTCCAGGGCATATATGTGAAAGTTGAATTCAAAGGACTGAGATTCATTATGTTTTGCTCAGTTCTTTCCTTCCATTTAGAGACGGAATTTGGGGAACACCAGTAAGCAAGTCCTATGAGCTAAAAACTTGAGAATTAATTCCTCATGGCAGGGAGCAAATCTAGCATCCCCCAAGCAAAATGTTGTCTTCTTCAAGAGAACAAGAGAGATGCAGCTCAGTTTATCCAAGGTTTCCATATGACTTGTCTAGAGTTCAGAAGGACCAGTTGACTTTCTGCAATGGTCAACCCCCACAGCTCAGCTGGGGCAGGAGCCCCTAAGCTAACAGTGGCCACCCTTGAGAGATAGAACTATCACTGGCTTTCAGTGCTACCAGAAGGTACTAATCTCTACAGCTTGTGGAGTACCCAGTCAACATGAATCATGAGCTAAGCACTGCATGGATTATTCATACAAAGGATATGCTGTATTGGATAGGAGGGGGTGTGGGGTTGCTAACAAGAAAGCCTGACCTCCTAATTCTATTGTCAGACATAGAGTGTCTCTGCTTGCCCTTTGTACAGAGGGGTAATTTTATGATGAGAGGTGGGCAGCCTTCATTGAAACCCTTCAATAACACAACTCCAATTTTGGGATATTGAAGGGTCACAGTTGTCTGTACCACTGGGCTAGAACCCCCTCAAGTACTGTTTTATATAAAAGAGGAAAACAGGAACTTTGAGGATGATTCCTGTAAGCAACCAGCCTCCGCATAGATAGCTGGCTTCAGAGTCTCAACTCTGTCAATTATTGCATGAGATCCTGGGCAAATAACTTAACCTCTGGGGACCCCTAGCCACCTCTCTAAGACTGTAAGTTACAAAAATAGGTACTATCTGCTTTAGCATTTGGAGTTTCCTCACCAGGAATTTTTTCACACCAGTGAATCAAGCATCCTACTGGTTCCCCTCTGACTAACCTCCCCCCCCCACCAAAAAAAAAATGACAAGAAAAACATCCCTTTGGACCCAAATTCAGGTGCCTAGAATTTCTCACCTGTACCAGGTTTCTTGTATCAGGAAGTATCCTCCGTTAAAAAAAAAAGTTTGCTTACAAAGCTAAGACATGGCAGGTCCCTGGACTTGGGGACAAAAGAAGCCAAGGAATTGACAAAAAAGACTTGGTCTGAGAAGGTTTTGGTAACTGAGAATTAGAGGATGTCAGAATTGGAAGAGACCTGGTGATCATCCATCCTATCTCATTCAAAGGAAGAAACTGAGGCCCCAGATGGTGAAGGGATTTACCCAAAGGTGTCATATGGTATTAGGGGCTGAATCTGAAGTCAGATAATTTGGGTTTTAATTCTGCCTCTGCCCTTAGTAGCTGTTTTGATTCAGTCATGTCATTATCCTCATTTGTGCAATGAGGCAGTGGGACCAGATTGTTTCCAAGGTTCCTTCAAGTTCTAGACCTATGATCGATCCTATGAGTAACTTTGGCAGAGTGGGGACAAGGATTTGGGTTTCCTAACTTTATTCAATTTAACTCAAGGAGCATTTCTTAAGTCCCTGCTATATGCTAGGCATCAGTTAAACATCAAACAGTCCCCATCTTCAACAATTCAAAAAGCTTCCATTCTCCAGTGGGGGTGTGATAAGGACCACAACATATTCACAGATAAGTAAGTGCAAAAGAAATACTAAATCATTTTGCATGTTGCATTAAGATCTGGGGGTGGGGGAATCAGGAAGGAACTTTTGCAGGACGCGACATTTGAGCTGAGCCTTGAAGGAGCTAGAGGCTAGTTACAAGAAGCAGCGACTGCTAGCTTGTGTTCCACGCTGAGGACAGGAACCTGCCAAGAAGAGCTTACCTGACCCCAGACAAGCTCTCCTAGTCCAATGAATATGCACCACATCCACTGGTCAAGCTGGAGAGGAGAACAGCTGAATGGCTTCCCCCCGAACTGCACAATGACTATCTGGAGACAAAATTGGAGACACAAACCCATCACCAGGAGAAGCACAAGTTTCATCTCTCAGAGCAGGGACTGGGACTTCCTGCTGGCAGGGGGCCAGGTGATGTTCTTCCAATGAGGATGCCCCAGGGTCCTGGTTACCTGAATGGCAAAGGTGCCCAGGACAATTGTGCAGAAGATGGGGTTCCTGAAGATGCCATCAAACACATTCCGCTCCCCATGGATTTTCCGGGCGTTGATTTCATTGAACAGTTGCATCATGACGAAGGTATTGAAGATGATGGTATAGTGCTCAGAGGGAGGAGAGTGGAGGGGGGCATTGCGTCCACTGTCAATCATGAACATTTTCTCTCCTATAAAAAGGGAAGTGTAAATAAAATCAAAAGGGCCCCAGGGACATGAGCTGTGTGACCTTGGTTCAGTTCCTTGTTTTCTCCTTGCTTCAGTCTTCTCATATATAAAATGAAGGGTTCACACTGAATCAACTTGAAGGTCCCTGCGCTAACATTCTCTGCCTGTTCTACTATGGCCAAATGGGTGTTATGGTGGTGAAAGGAAGTGGAAGAGGGAGGGAAGAACATAAAAGAAGGACATATGAAAATAAGTCCTTTTACAAAAGTGGTTCACAAACCTTTTCCCATCTCATAGCACTTTATTCTTTGCCATCAGTAGGGAACTGTAAAAATGCTTATGTGCTTGCAAGTGAAACTTCCATATATTTCATAAGAGAGACTTCCTGCAATGTTGACTCAGTTGCTTCAATGAATCTCATCGTTGTGGATGTTCCTACTGAAATTGTAGGTCAAAGTATTTCTGTCCATCTTGGGCAACTGTTATCTATAACCTTCCATAGGTTCCCTGAAAGAAGTCTACCCTGTGTACTAAGGGACTTTCTTGACATCTAAACATTTTGAGGATACTAGAGGAATATGCATGCTATTCGTGGTCTATCCTTCACTCTAGTCATGTGATTACCCCCATCTTTTTTGATAATATATTTCCCTGATGAAGTCCTTTATTCTTCTTCTTCAAGATTACTCATGTGTTACATACTTCAGCCTATCATGCCTACCAGGCACCCATTCATTGCTTCATTTTTATTTCTACAGAAACTATATTCCTCCAAGACTCACAAGCATATGACATTGGTAGCATATTGACATTAAAAAGCTAGTCCTTTGTTTCAGGGAGAATGCTGTTTGGGATCACTAACAGAGCTTTGCAATTTCCCAAAGGGAATCTTGCCTGCTTTCTTCTTGTTCAATTCTGCATTCAACTAGCTATCCATAGTACTCCCTGTCAATTACATACACATACACATTTATGTATTATACATAAAATATATATGTGTACATATGTATATATGGGGAAAGAGAGTGGGAGAGGGAGAATGGATGAATGGCTTCTATCTAGGTTGTTCATTTAACTGTATGTCAATATCTAGATGATAGAAAGTCTTTGTTTCCTTGGTTTCCCCTATTTGGATGGTTAAGTCAAACTCTTTTAAGTGGTTGTGGTGCCATCCATCTATAAATAGAAATATCTGAAGGACCTAACTATTCCTAGGGAATCCTTCTTTAGCTTGGACTCTGCACTGGATCAACTCTATCATATTAGCAAACATCCTTAATAAGCATATGTCCCCTTTATGCCTCACTTGCCACTTAGGATCAAGATGATTTTTTTTGTTATATCTATTAAGTAGTTGGATGTATTGGTGGTAGATACCTTGTTGGAAGAGAACTCTTAGAGTGGCGATTTGTTCTACTGAATGATTTTTTTTTAGTCAATAGACAATTAAGTACAATGGGAGCTTATCTTATTTACAACTTTCAGTAGTATTCCTTGCTAAAGTCTGACAGTTCCCTATCAGTAGACTTAATGTGTAGATTTTGAAAACACTTGTGAATTTTTATATAAAATTTTTATAAAGTTGTGGAAAGAGTCATGCAAGCCAATAGCTTTTGCATTTTGTTATTAACTTTTTAAAAATAATAAGGGCTGACATTTTCCCTATATCTTTGGTATCTTCTTCTCCTATAGATACCTTGAGAAGTGATTTCTTATTATTCTCAAAATTGTGTTGCCTCCATCACAGATGTCCTCTATGTCACTTGGCCTAATTCAGCCACTTTCCTCATATTATTCTTCTTAGTGTCACTTTTAATTCCTATGTAAACATATCCAGGATTGTGATGTCAAAGTATGAAAGTTCTATTGTTTTGATGGTAAAAAAGTTAGTTATAAAAATGCAGATCTTTTCCATTCTTATTTCATTTGTTTCTTCTCTTCCATTGTTATCCTTAAATACCCTTGTGATGACTTTTCTTAGTTGGTTCTCTTACCAAACTTTTTTTTAGATTGGTTTTACTCCCACTGCTTCTTTCTATTTTATGAGACAATATTGCACAAAGTATTCCATCCTCCTCCTTGAAGTTTTAAAAATGAGTCTATGATCTAAGTTGGTATTGCACTTGGCTGCCATAGCTCTACTCTTGGCAAGTAAATCAGTTTGATGACTAGAGTACTTTTTAGGTTCCTTGGTCTTACAGCAGTTGATTTATATTGCTTAAACTTCTATATGAAATCACTGTAGTCTGTCTATGTGCTTTCTAATGTCCACATCCCCTTTTTGTTATTAATAACTTGTTTTAATTGCATATCAAATCTTGCTCATATGTATGTCCTTACTTCTAGTTTTGCACTAATTCTGGTATTTGCTCTAACAAATTGGTTGTCTGACTATACACAGACGCTAATAAAGCAAAATGATTTTCGATAATGTTATTCAATTCCTTGTCCAGCACCTTCTCATTCTCTTCTTGACAATTGTGCGCATGCTATATAGGCAGGAGGTTTTTGTGTAGCCTTCAAGCCTCTGGCCTCTCTCATTCCCTCTTCCTGATCTAATGCATTCTCATCTTCCTGAACTATTTCTCCTTTTCCTTTACATCTCAAAGTGTTGGACTCTGTGTTCATTTAATTTACAGGGTCTTATTAAGTTCTTTTTAGAAATTTTCCTCTTCCTCTTCTTATAAGCCTTAATTTCGTGATAGTTTTTTTACACATCAGAAGTACTGCACTGAGATGATCAAATGCCTTCTCAAGTGACATTTCTTGTTGCTTCTGGATGCATAAAATTAAACCAACTCTACCAATTTTTTTATTTGCCTCTACATGATGAACCTGTCCCATAAGTTTCCTTCCATTGTAGCTTCCCTCTTTGTTTTGGTTGCATTTATATCAAGACTGTTAAAACTGATATGACTCATTTCCTCCAGTAGGATGTGCACTCAGTAATTGGATAAGGACATCCCATTGAACCTAGCAAAAGCTAAGTGAAGAGTTATAGATGACTTGAAAGTGATGTCATGTTTAGCATCCTCTGCCCTTTATTTCCCATGATTCTGCCACCTTCATTGCAGAAGCAAAGGAGGAGCTCACAAGACCAAAGACCATATTGGATTTTCCTTTGTTTCATGGAATGTCATGGCCAAATGTTTTCAACACCAAGTGGCCAGCCTAGTGGTGATGAGCCTCCCTGCATTTAGCTAGGTTAGTCCTTAAATAGAAGATTCAACCTGTTTCTGAGCCTCTACTCAAAGGTCTTTCCAGCATGATAGAACCTTCCAGAGTTTTTGCTCTGCTGGCATTGCTGTTGAGAACCTAGTCAGTGCCACTTTATGATGAGGCATCTGGGTTAGACTTTTTGATGTTCTGAAGTGACATGAAACTATTAATGACTAGTTTTTTGTCCTTTCTCAATGAACATGCTTCAACACTAATGGACCCATAGGAAAGCAACTGGAGAACAGGCAGCCTCTGGAGTCTTTCACTAGGATTTCATAAAAGGGTTTTCTTTCTTTCTTTTTTTGTCATTCTTAAACCCAAGACATGGGAGGCATTCTGGATGGAAGGTGGTGTGTAGGAATGGCTGCTGAATCAGGAGGCCTTTACACTGGTGTGAAACTTGAGTAAGTCACTGAACTTCTCTAGACCTCAGTTTTTTTTTTCTCAGCAAAATGGAAGGATTGGGCTAAATGATCCCTAAGACCCCATTCTACCCCTGGAATTCTGTTCTAGGTTCTAATGTTCTGAGCCTGTGACTTGAGGATTTTATGACTGATGTGGACAAGAACTTAAGCATTCCAGAGGACCACCAAGTGACTTACCAACAAAAAGGAGGGTGAAGATGAGTGTGAGCTGGTAGACTGCATGGCCTAGGATATTCTTCATCATGGTGCGGGAGATGAGCGGCTTGTTGCGGCCGTATGGCTTACGCAGCAGAAGGGACTCTGTGGGTGGCTCTGTGGCCAGGGCCAGGGAGGCAAAGGTATCCATGATGAGATTCACCCACAACATCTGTACAGCTTTTAGGGGAGAGTCCTGGGGACAGAAAGAAGAATGAACAGTCACAGCATGGAACCAGGTTGGGACATCTCTGGGCAGGAGAATATCCCATTCCCAGGATGAGGTATAGCAGTTTCCATCACCAGCTCTGTGTGTGTGTGTGTGTGTGTGTGTGTGTGTGTGTGTGTGTGTGTACGAGAGAGAGAGAGAGAGAGAGAGAGAGAGAGAGAGAGAGAGATGGATGTTGACCATCTTCTGCAAATTCCAGGATCTTAAGCTGTAAGGGACCTCAGAGGATATCAAGTCTATCCTCATCCCTGTATTTTTGTAACAGAGGAGGAAATAGAGGTCAAGGATGGAAAACTAACTCAAGGTGCTGAGGTAATAAATAACAGCTGGGTGCAGAATCCGAGTACTCTGATTCAAATTCAGCACCTTTGGCACTATACCACAGACTGAATAAGAGTAAACTTGTTCCATTTTCATAGAAAACTTGGGAAATCAAAAAAACTATGAGGCTCAAAGAAATGGATCTCTAGTGGCAGAATTCCCATGCCTGTGACAATTAATCTGGGAGATGATTTTGGGAAGGAGGCTCCTTTCACTCCATGCCACATAGGGGCTTCTTAATATATCTAGACTGAGGCCAATCTTGTTCACTTTTCTGGTTTCAGAGAGGAATTTTCTAAGCACCTTAGTGCAAATTTTAGAGCTTAGAGGTAATTTGCCTGACTGTTTTCCTTCCAAGCTTCTTTTTTTTCTTTCCTCAGTATCAATTGATCAACAAGTATTTATTAAGTACCTACTATGTGCCACGCAGGGGAAGCTAGGTGGTACAGTGGACAGAGCAGTGGGCTTGGAATTAGGAAGACTCAACTTCATGAGTTCAAATCTAGCCTCAGACATGTCCTAGCTGTTTGACCCTGGGTAAGTCACTTAAGCCTGTTTGTCTCAGCTTCCTCATCTGTAAAATGAGCTCCACCCAAGTATCTTTGCCAAGAAAACCCTAAGTGTGGTCACAAAGGGTCAGACACAACTGAAACAACGAACAATGACAATAATATGACAAGCATTGTGCTAGGGGTTAAGGAAACAAGTACAAAGAATGAAACAATCTCTATTTTAAAGGAACTGATATTCTAGTGGTAGAGAGGACAAATACATGTAAACATGTATGTGTGTGTATATAGTATAAATATAAAGTTAAAAAATACAAATATATATAAATTAGTTAAATACAAGGTAATTTAGAAGTGAAGGCACTCAGGAAAGGGTTCAGGGAAAAGATGGCACTCAAGCTGATTCTTAAAGGAAGAGAGAGAAACTGTGTGAGTCAGAGGTAATGAAGTGGTATATTGCAGGCATGTAGGATAGCCAATGCAAAGGTAAGGAGATGGGAAATAGCAGCAGTGTCAGGAAGAGAGGGAAGACAAGTTTGGCTGGATTTATATGCGGGAGAGAGAGAAAAATGCCCAATTAGTCTGGAAAGGTTGGTTGGGACCACATTGTGTAGGGCTTTAAAAACAAAACAGAAGTTTATATTCTATCTTAGAGATAGGAAGTCACAGGATTGGTGAGCAGGAGAGCCATGTGGTCAGGTCTGCACTCAGAGAAATAAAGGTGGGCTAAGTGAGGCCTGAGGCTCTTTAGAATGAAGTTCCTCAGCTAACATGGTTAACTGCCTATAGATTTGTCATCCTGTGTGAGGTAGTGGGCAAGGTGTGGTGGGATGGGCATTGTGAACAAGCTTTGGATTTGGTACCAAGAGACCCATTGAAATTCTGACTCTCACACTAGCTGTGTCATTGTGTGTAAGTCATTTCATCTTTCTATGGCTCAGCTCTGTTTACCATAAAATGGAAGGAGGGGAGCAGCCTAGTTATTCTCTAAGATCCCATCCAGCTCTGAATCCTATAATCCATAGAATCTTATGTCTTTGGATTATAGACATACCAACTTTAAATTAGCTGGAACAAAGGAATATCCCTGCTCAACCAGAGCTCTGCATACCATAAAACAGCCCTTAGTTTCCTCCTTGGCCCATCCAATGAATTGAGGAGGGCTGTTAGATTTCCCAATGATGGCACAGGACTATGGAAAGAGCACCGGCATTCTTTATAGTTTATAGAACGTTATAGTTTCCTGAACAGTTTCCTCACAAAAACCCTGCAAGATGGTCATTAAAAATAGCACATTTTACAGATTAAGAAATTGAGAACCATAAAAGGTAAGTGACTTGCCCTAGGCAATATAGTTAGCAAGCGTGTACGCTGAACTTTGAGCCTTTACCCTCTTACTCCCAATCCCGTATTCTTTCCACTTCACCATGCTCCCTCTCACCTCCTACAACTGCAAGCCCAGACCTCTTCCCACCCTACCATGGTTGACATTCTAATTAACTGAGTCTGATTATTAGTCGCAATGAGTATAGATGGCCACAAACAAGAAAAGTTTTGAGTCTAACTGAGCCACATACAAGGGAGATGAAGGCTTGCCCGTGACTTTGGCTAGATGCAAATTCTTGGGAGAAGGAAAAAAAAAACTTGGTTTCTTAACACGTAAGTATTGAGGAAGCAGACACTAGAGGGCGCTGTTCGTCCATTGATCTAGGAAAGAGAATGCTACTAATAGAAAAAACCTGACCTTTAACAGCTCAGGCAGGGAGGGCTGTTGTGTGCCTATGGAAGGGCCCCAGGGGATAACACTGCTGAGGCTCAGAAAGGACTCAACCAGAAGACAACTTTGCTTGGATGAGAGTCTGGTCCTGGGACAAGCTGTAGCCCTGGGCTATGGGACAACCCAGGGCCCTGAGTCAGGCAAAGGCATCATCGCCCTCTAAGGGCCTCAAAGAGACCACAACATGACTTTTCAAAGTGGGCCGGAGACCTCCTGTGCTCAGGAGCATTCCACAGAATTGTGCTGGCCTGGCCCCCAACTATCCATTTACCGGAAATACAGATATTGTTTGGGCTGGAAAGGCCCTCATAACATAACCATTAGATGGGACTTTAGAATACAGAATACTGGGGCTGAAAAGGAACTTCAAATACAGTGGTAGGGCTTGAATGGACCCTATAATATAGAATTCTGGGGCAAAAAAGACCTTAGGACATAAAATATGGGAGCTGGAAGGAATCTTAGAACATAGAATATGAAAGCTGGAAGAAAATTTAGAACATAGATTGTTCGGGTGGGACTTGACCTTCAGACAAATGTTGGAGCTGCAAAAGACTTTAAAGACATGAAAGTTCAATGCTAAAGCCATGAAGAGAAGAGCTGAGAATTCTGGTCATCATCCTGGAACAATTATTGAAAGAATCTACCCTTGAGTTTTGGGGGATATATGCACCCCAGTCCTATCTGGCGAGGCAGGGTGAGCTCTTTGGATGGCTTGGGTGACCAATCAGGCAGTTCTGCTCTGTGTCTGACATGCAGCATAAAGCAAACCAAAAGAGCAATTTTTTCCTAGCCTCCAGCCCAGCAGATCTTGGGTTCCCCTAGTGTTTTCAGGGGACATGTGAGGTCAGAACTATCTTCATCATAATACTAAGATGTTTTAATTTCTAACATGGCACATAATTTCTTACTAGCTGTGTAACCCTGGGCAAGCCACTTAATCCTGTTTGTATCAGTTTCCTCATCTATAAAATGAACTAGAGAAGGAAACAGCAAACTATTCTGGTATCTTTGCCAAGAAAACCCCAAATGGGGTCACAAACAGGAGGATATGAGTGAAACAACTGAACAACAACACATAATTTCTCCTATTAAGTATATAATTTGGTAGATATAACCCTCATAAGCTCTTTAGGGGACTCTCAAAAATTTTTTAAGAGTATGAAGTAAAAATTATATATTTCACATTCTTGGTCCAGTGGTCACCAAGATGAGATGCATGCAACCCATGGTGCAGAAAAACACTGATTCACAGGGGTACAAGAAGAAAATATTAAATCTGGTTTTATTTTGTATCTTTAAAAAGCTAAGCTTTACTGACATTTGATATGTAAATTGACCTGAATGTGCTAATTCAGTTTGTATGTCAGTCACATGGTACGTGTGGTACCCTGAGGAAAGAGTGGGAGTTCCACAACACAGTGGGGTCGATAATGGCACCCTCCCTTGTTCATTTACTTTCAGCATGTTATAACACAATGTAGCATAACTGTGCAGTGAAGTGGGTTTTGGGGTGCTGTTATCTAGTTTGGAATAAACTAGCCCATATAAAATGAGCAAGTGACTTGAAATAATTCCTGGGGGAAAAAAAAAACCCATGGATTGATGATAATGCTAATTATTGCTTGTTAGCATGAGCAAACAACAAGGAACTGCTGAGCTGACGTGACTACTCCCAGGATGAGCTCTTTGGAAGCCTCATTAGGAGACAAAACAACAATGAGCCAATCAAATCTGACAAGAAGTCAGCCCAAAAGATACAAAATTGCCAAAAAGATTATTTGGAATATGGCTCTACATTCACTGTAGTTAATGAGGAAACTTGCCCTAAGAATAGAGTATGCCTTGAGATATTAGGTACGCCAATATGAAGCCTGTCCTTGGGCGTACTTTCCCTTCTAGACTATGATTTGGTCTCTCTGGATTCTGACACTATATCTCCCCACGTGGATATCCCTCTTTATCTCCTTCTCTTCTTCCCACCTTTTTCAGCTTCCTTTCATGTGGTCTTCTTCTATTAGAAAGTAACCTCGGGGCAGCTAGGTGGTGCAGTGGACAGAGCACCAGTCCTGGATTCAGGAGGACCTGAGTTCAAATCTGGCCTCAGACATATAACAGTTACTAGCTGTGTGACCCTGGGCAAGTCACTTAACCCCATTGCCTAGCCAAAAAAAAAAAAAAGAAAGAAAAGAAAGTAACCTTCTTGAAGGCAGGGACTGCCTTTCCTTTGGCTTTTAATTGCATCCTCAGTGCTTAGCCACTGCCTGGCACATAGTAAGTGCTTAATTAATGCTTGTTGCTTTGCCTTATCATAGAATTTTCTGATCTGTTTAAAAAATCTGTGGAAATAAAGAGCTGAAGTGGATTTTGAACCATTTGATAAAAGGTAAAAACACAACACCTTGGGTTGAGTTTGTAAGAACAACTAATGAACATCAGAGAAGATGGAAATTTACTAGGCAAATTTCAACAACAAACTTTGCATGGTGGATGAGATTGAAAAATGAGGGTCATGCTTTAGTAAGTACCATCACTGATGCCTACTTGTCTTTGGAACTTTTCAAATTATCTTTTTCAGGAATGACTACCATTAAATCCAAAGATATGAATTTATTGTAAATCTAGAAAGATTTTGAAATGACTACGTTATAATTTGTTAAATCAGGATAGTCAGCAATGATTAATTATAGTCAATCATATTGCTTTCACTCAAAATATTAATAATAATTTCAGTGACAGAAAGTATTTTATGCCACTAATACATAAAAATATTTTAATAATATTATTTCACCTTCATCTCCATGTCATCCTTTAAACACTTCTATTCTTACATATTTTTATAATGTATGTGTTATATACATTATAATGAATGTGTTAGATCCCTGCCTAATTTTTAAAAATTTTTTTTTGTTTGGGGGAGGGGAATGAAAAGTTTGGAAATCAGTTGTATAGAAGATGGTGGAGTGTGGATGTGGCTGCCCTACACTGGCTGCTCCTGAGTCTGTACTATTTAAAAGCCCACATTCCAATTAACTACCATTCACTTACTCCAAGCTGGTTCTTAAATTCCCAAAAAGGGTAGTGGCTACATATTTAATCACTTAACAAGATTTCTGTTTCAACTCGACTGAAGGATGTTTCACTTTTGTCTATGAATCAATTTGGCCTCAGGCAGTCATTTCCAATAATTTTTGAAAATGATTTTTCCCCTCAAATTTCAGACAGTGACTGAAAGGAATTGGAAACACAGCTTCTATTAGATCTATAGGTCACCCCACCATTTTGAAACAAAATGGCAGCCAATAAGGACTAGTTATATTTTTTATGGATTTCAGTCACAAATTTCCTTAACATAACATTTTTCAATGCATTTTTGCCACGATTACCTCTGTACATCCCCGAGGGAGATATCATTCCCATTTAAGAGATGATGAAACTGAGAGAAATTAAATGACTTACCTAAGGTAAAATAAAGGAAAGAGCCAGAACTATCCCCCAAGTCTCCAGACTCCCAGTGTCTACTGCCCTATAGATTCCAATGCAGGTTAATGAACAGGTGGTGCCACAGGGAGCTCTCCAGCAGAAGGAAGTTTGGGTTATGGAGGTGGAGGGCCTGTGAGGCTCTTCTTTGAGTGTAGCTATTCAAGCCCACTTCTATCTGGTTTTGAGGATGGAACTTTTGAAGTCTGTAAGCAAGACCTTATTGACCGTGAGTGCCCCTCTCAGATCTAGTTGTGAGTTTCTCATTTTGATACTGCTTCCACTTCTGAGACCACCTCTCACCTTTATCTGATGACCTGTCAGCTGCTTCTTGATATTGGGCTTAGGGGTGTGGAATCCTAGACCTCTACCTGGTGGCTGGACCTTTTCTGCTACTCTTCACTCCCCAAGTAGAAGAAAGCCCAAACAGCACTGTGGACTCTCTTCATCCACAATTCTAGTCATTTCCCAACCTCCTAGCCCTTTTCCAGGCACTAAAGTGATTAAAATAGCATGTGGTCCACTAAAAGCAAGGTTCTTCAAATATGGCTGGTCCTATCAGGTTTCAATTTGAGCCCGATTATCTCACTTATAGTCAGTAAATGTGAGAAAGTCACTGCCAGAGGGAGGGTGGCACTGCTCACTGCTCAAATATCTCAAATATCGGGGATGCCATTCAAGTTAAGGGTAATTCCAACAGCCCCAGAGCCCTACATTTCTCCTTATTTAGTGTAAGGTGGAATAATACCTCTCCTACACATTCTAAAGACCCAGTTTTTTTTGCCAAACACTTGATACCAGAGGAAGGAGTAGGCTTGGGTCCTTGGCCCACTCACAAGAGGTTATGCTAACAAACACCTCTGTTTCCTTCTTCTCCTTCTCAGCTGATATTACCACTCTTGCCATGATGCCTCAACTTCCCCAAATCCTATCCTCTTACACTTAGGTCAACCCTAGTAAAATAAAAAGAACCCAGAGGGGATATTAATCAAGAAATACTACAGCAGCCTATGCATTGTACGCACTGTTTCCATCTCCTTTCCCAGTTCTCTAAAAGACATGGGGATGTGCCTAGTAATATGACCAGAGCTTACCTGTGTGATGCAAGCACCCGTGAAAGCCACAATGACAGCTACCACATTGACCGTTAACTGGAATTGCAGGAACTTGGAGATGCTGTCATAAACATTGCGGCCCCACATCACTGCCTTGACAATGCTGCTGAAGTTGTCATCTGTCAGAATGATGTCTGAAGCTTCCTTGGCAACATCGGTACCAGCGATTCCCTGAGAGAAAGAGGGAGAACAAGGGAAGAATGGCCAGGGATATTCAGGGAAGCAAGAAAGGACCTCTGTGCTACAGGAACCTGGGAGCTGCTGCTAGATACAGACATCTCCCACACATGCAAGGCCACACATCCACAGAGGCACAAGAGGCCCCTTCATGCCTGTGCCTACAGGATCTCAGAGTTATAAAGGGACCCAACTCATGCCTGAACAAGAATCACCTCCATAACATCCTCAGCAAGTGACCATGAAGCCTTTTCTCAGCCTCCAATAAAGGGGAACCCACAATCTCCTGAGGCAGTCCATTTTACTTCCAGAGAGCACTCATTGTTAGGAATTTGTTCCCCTGACCATCAGCACTAAATGTGATATTTTACAGCTTCCATCCATTACTCCGTTTTCAGTCTTTTGGGGCCAAGAAGAAAAGTATATTCCTTCATCCTCCTTCAAGAAATTGAAAATAGACATCACTCCCATAAGTCTTCTCTTTTCCAGGCTATATATCCCCAGTTCCTCCAACCAATCCTCATGCTACATGAGCTTGAGGCCCTTCACCATCCAGGTCACCTTCCTCTGGACTCCCTCCAGCTTATCAATATCCATCCAATATGTGACACCCAGGGCCGAACACGATCCTCGAGAAATGGCGGACCAGAGCAGAGTACAGCCAGACTATCACCTGCCTAGTCCGGGACGGTGAGCCACTTTTAACGTGGGCCTTAGGGCTCGGCAGCTCTCGTGGCTGTAAGATCACACTACTGCAGTCCAGAAAACAAAGGCAAATATATCTGCTGCTTACAGGTATGCCCAGCACCCTATGCATGCATGTGCATGTGTACACACACACCTCACTGCATCACCCAACCCCTATATACACACAGAGATGAAGCCCCCCCCCAGGTATGCCAAGCTACCTACACACAGCCCCATTGTCTTGCCGCACACAGATCCCCTCGCCTTTATATATCCTATTACAGAAGATACACACAACCATGGCACACATTTTACAGTCCCCTACATAAACACTCTCAGTCATCTCTTCTACCCACTCACCCCCACACACCTACATTCACAATTTTTGATTGGACATAAAAGCACACAGTGTCCACATGATATATACCCCTGCCCACAGAGAAGCACTCAACCCCCTATATATCCATACCATTTTTTCTACCACATGTACTTATCTGTCCAAGTCACATGGAAAGTTCCCTACCCATGTACTGACTCTCAAAGCATATGCTTACATAATATGGTTTCCTGTACAGAAATACGCCACCAAAACACAATATCTTGCGTCTGACAGGCCTTGAGGCCTTCTAGATCCTTAAGTGCAGCCTTTTGAATGAATCCAAATTTTACAGAACAAATCTTTGTTCCCCACTCCTGGTTGGTCTCAAGCTCAACTTCTGCTCTGATAAGCCAACAATTATGACCAAAGTATTTCAGAATTTAGAGCTGTTCTTCTCTTCTTCATGGATGACCTTTGGCATAAAATGGCTGAGCTTGCAAATGATTCAATGTCCAACTGACAAATACAGGATTTGACCGAGTGAACAGTGGAGAGCCCCCTGAAGAAGGAATGTCTCTGTGTTAGGAAATTGTGGGGACCATGGGAAGCCTTCAGACATAGGCACAGCACATTTGAGCTCTAGGAGAATCCAGAAGCCCATTTTGGTTTGGGAAAGAGGTTCTCTTTAGCTACTATGGAGCCTGGGCCTATCTGAGTGCAAACGAGAGACAGACATACCTAAACTCCACATCCTCTGAGAAAGCTCGCACAATTCAATGGAGCGAGTATTATCACTAGCCTACGCACTCCTTTTGACAATTTCCTCCTCCACAGGTACTGTGCCCATGGGCTGAGAATAATCTAAACATTGAAATATACTTGTCGGTTGTGTTTATTCTTCATATCTACCTGCCTCTATCCTATCGGTGTGTTATCTTCCGAAGGGAAGGCCTCTCTCTGCCTCGTTCATTGAGTAGCACGTTACATTTAACAACTGGGTACATGGATACTTCATCAGCGCAGTCTCATGATGAAGAGGAACTTGCTTCCATTTAAATCTCTTTCTCCATCATGAGAAAACATCGATCAAGTGCCTAATTGCATATGGTGCCAGGCTGGCTATGGGAGGACTAGACATTCCCCATGTTGGACTCTAAACTCACCCAATACAGGAATTATGGCTCATCTAAATCTTCTCTCTCTCCTAGTGCCTAGCACATAGTAGACTCTCAATAAATGTTTGTTCAATAATATTGAAACAATAACTAGAGAACAAGTTCCTCCACAACCAGGCTCCACCCAACCTATGAAAACCTTTCTCTCATTTCTCCCTCACATTTACTCTTCATTTCATTCAGGCTTACTAACTCCAATACTCCTTAACCTACATCAGCATGCAAATAAAACTCATTGACATCTCTTCACCCAGAATGCCTTTCCTTCTCCTCTCTGCCGATCCAAATGCTGCTCTGTCTTTCAAAACATACCTTCTGTGAAGTCTTCTTTAAGAACTCCGAACTCCCCGATTGATTGCTGGTTTCTTTCTTTCGGTCTATCTATCTATCTCTCTAGCTAGCTATCTCTAGATCTATATTTTCTGGTCTGGAATATATCGCTAGGTAGCTAACTTCTTTTTTTCTTGCAGAGTTTTCTAAATGCTCTAAATGCATTCGTTTTGTCTCCCCAGCTAGAGTGTAAGCTTTTTGAGGTCAAAGATCATATCTGATAATTCTGTACCCACTTATTCCCAGCTTTGGTCTGAAGACATAGGAAGTGATTCCTAAAGATCTATTGGTTGAAGAAAACTCTGGACCTCCAAGGCTGACTAAATTTTAATCTGGATCTCTCAGCAGATAAAAGGGGTGAGTGCACTATAGAGGCCAACTCATGCCCGTACCATGGCAAAGCCAACATCTGCCTTCTTCAGGGCTGGCCCATCATTAGTTCCATCCCCAGTCACGGCCACGACCTGCCTCTGCTCCGTGTGGGTACTGTCGATGATGCCTGTGGAGAGGGAAAAGGCCTGGAGTGAGCAAGAAACATGAGGCACCCCTGTCTGCCACACCCTTTAACAATCTTACCTAAAATAGTCAAGAAAAGAAGTGGCCCCATTTTGCCCGAGGTCACACAGAGACATAGCAGCAAAGCTAAGGGTAAGAGCTATGTCTTTCTACCCCTGGCCTAATGCTCTTTCTAGCTCATCACCCTGCATAGAAGGGTGATCTAGTAGACTGTGGACTAGGAGTCTGCACATTCACTTTCTAACACCAGACTCAGCTACCAACTAGCTAAGTGTCCTTGGGCAAGTCATTCCCTACCCCAACCTCCCCTTACTCAATTCCTTCATCACTAAAATTACTGAAGATATACTAAAATGAGAATCCTGGATTAGATGAACTCAAAAGTCCCTTCCAGCTCTGACATCCTATTGGTCCCTTTAAAGAATGATGAGTTCAAATTGAATGAATCTGAAAATGATTTTGGAAAGAGATCTATATATAGTTTGGCTCTTTGGAAACAGGAACAAAACAGAGTCTAAATTTGCTAATGCTCTTGTGCTTTATTTAATTACACCTCTTTTTATGTGGGTATTTTAAGGAACACCAGCCATGGTGCATAGTCACAATATAACAAAGCTAGGGGGATAGCAAGACCACAGGAAGAACAAGAAAGGCACCATTGCCTAATGGGAAGAACGTCAGATTTGGAATCAGACAACCTGGGTTCAAATCCTCAATCCTGATCCTGACACTATCATTGGACTGGGAGTTTTATGGAGGCCTAAACTTGAATCCTGCCTCAGGTAATTATTAGTTATGTAGCCCTCAGCAAGTCACCTAGCCTCAGTTTCCTCATCTGCAAAATGAGGTGGTTGGACCAAGTGACCTTTAAGGTCCCTTCTGGCTACGATCCTATGACATGCATCAGAACCTCTCTCTGCTTCGGCGAATAGTCCAACCCTACAATCCTGTGGTCTGTGATCCTTTTCAGCTTTGGATACATTATCACTGGCTATACATGCGTACGTTTTTCATCTGATGGAATATAAGCTTCTCAAGGGCAAGGACTATTTCATTTTTAGCTTTGCTTCCCCAGTACACAACCAAGTGCCTGGTACATGGTAGATGCATAATAAATGCTTTTTGATGGACTGACTCATTAAATCAAATGCGTTGTTGATGGAATTTGGGGGAGGATATGAGATCCTGATCTATAGGGCTCTTTACTGACCAGGGTGGAAACACCACTGAAGTAAATGACAAGAGAGGTCTGGTCTATTAATAATTGTCTCAGAGATCAACCAGATTTGACTCAAAGATTGACCCATAAGTTATCATGGACCTACTGGGGACCCTTGCCCTGCAACTCATTAAGCAAGTTACTTCTCATTTCAACATGGACTCTCAAGCCAATCACCCATAACCTATTTTAAAATAAACTCTTTTTTGGGGGAGCATCGATAAGTTTCCCAGTCATGATCCATTTTTTCCATGCCTGATTATTTTTGGAGGAGAGAACTATTATGGTCTCAGAGCCATAGAGCTAGAAGGTCAAACCCTGTGGGACAGATGGGTCAAAGCCATTTCAAGGCCTCTCCCAAGCACTACAGTCAGGCAGACCTTTCTTAAGATGAATAACAACTTGCATTTGTAAAGTGCTTTTCTCTACCACTATCCTCTGGGCTCTCAAAAGTTATGCTACTGGAAATAACCCAGGTGCTAGAAAGCCTATATACCAAGCTGGAAATATTTGTTGTCCAAAGACCATCCTGGCTAAGTTTAGAGAGGTTAATCACCAGGACGGTGGTCACTAGGGGATGTTTTCTATTTGTTTGTTTTCCTTTAAAAACTCATGAAGATATTGATCATTCGCCATATGCAACAGGAAATGGGGCTCTTGCACCTGGAAGAAGTCACAGATTGTTAAAGTCCTTGGGTGGGTACAGAACTCTCTACATCTTATAAAGTGCTTTGATGTGTATTATCATCTCCCTGCCATTGTGCTCTCCAGATTCCAGGCCTTGCCCTCTGCTTTGCTGCTGCATCCTGAGGACACCTGAACTCTGCCATTTGCCCTGCAGCCAACTCTCCTATATGTTGTCTCTCTCTATTAGAATGCTCCCTTGACAGCAGGGAAAATATCACTTTTCTATTTGCATCCCAAGTGCGTAGCATAGTGATTGACACATAGTACATGCTTAATAATTCTTTTTATTCACAATGACCTAGCTGGGGTAGGTTGGGTTGATAATCTTAAGTTACAGATGAAGAAACTGAGGCTTGGATTTGGAAGGGGCTTCAGAGGTCATCTAGACCAAGTTCAGCTACTTGGTCATGGTCACATAAATAGTCTACAGCAAGGCCTGGAATTGAAACCAAGTACTCTGATTCCAAATCCAGTCCTCTTTCCACTATATCTCTATGCCTTTCAAAAACAATAGTTCACACCACATGCAATAAAAAATGCAGGGGCTCCCATCAGTTTGATGGGAAGCTTAGGTTACCAACAAGATAACATAGAGCAGATGAGTCAGGTGTATCTCTCATTTCCCTATCCAAGGGAAGTCCTTTCTCCTTTGTACTGAGATCAAAGTCTCTACCAGTCAGACCTTGAATTTCACCCTTTGGAGCACAAACAATATGGCTTTCGTGCAGCAGCACCACCTGGGTTTGCAGACCCTTTCTGCTGATAAGTTATGCTTCAGATACACGCATGGCTAATGGATTGCAGGAAGATCAAACGTAAACCTGCTGAGTGATCAAATGTAAAGATCTAGTGATATTTATACCGAGGCATTTCAGAAGTCTCCTGACCACATTCCAAGCATGGAACCCAATCCTTTCAAACAGGGCCTCTGTACATAGAAACAAAACTGGGGCATCAATTCCAACTTCTACCATTTTTACATAGGAAGAAATTAGAGCTCAGAAAGGGTCAGTGACTTACCTAGTAGCAGAAATTGGACTAGAAGCAGGCTGAAGCCCAGGAGAGAACAGCACACTAGAAGTCAAGGCTGCCTCAAACAATTATGTGACCAAGGGTTCATAGCTCTAGGGTTGGAAAGGATCCCCAGGGTCATCTAGACCAGAGATGTCAAACACGCTTAAGGCCTGAATCAGATTAAAATGTAACTGGGAAATATTTAACAAAATAAATAAAAATGCAATACAACATTGTTGTTTAATCATTTTCAGTCACATCTGACTCTTTGTGACCTCATTTGGGGTTTTCTTGGCAAAGATACTGGAGGGGTTTACCATTTCCTTCTCCAGCTCATTTTACACATGAGGAAACTGAGGCAAAGAGGGTTAAGAGACTCATCCAGGATCACATAGCTAGTGTACAAGGCCAGAAAGAGGAGTCTTTCTGACTCCAGAGCCAGTGTTCTATCCATTGAACCACCTAGCTGCCCCAAGATCTGCTAAATCCAATGCTGTTAATATAACTTGTTACTGTGTACAGAAGCTTATATGGCTTCTCAGCCCTTCTACAGATATAATGCAATGAAAAAAAATTAATTTCCCTTGTTATTTTCAGTAGATTTGAAACATACACAGGGCTTGAAGGAGTTAAGTAAGCAAATTCCTTCTTTTTGTGGGACATTCATTGAAGTGTAGATTCAGATTTGGAAGGGACAATAGTCTAATCCCTTTATTGTACAGATGGAAATACTGAGGCGCAGGCAGGTGAGTTTCAAGATCACACAGGTACTAAATGGCAGAACAGAAATTTGAACCCAGGTCCTCTGACACCAGAATTGTACCCCAACGCTTTCTGTTATAGTGTTACTCTACTCTTTGCACTTTTCAAACAACTTTCACAGCCAATATCTCATTCAGTCTTCATAATGCCCAAACAAGGAAGGTAATATTTCCACCCAATTTATGGATGAGGAGACTGAGACCCTGAGCAGTGAAATGACTTGCTTGAGGTCACATAGAGAGGGAAAAGCTAAGCTAGGATTCTAAGCAAATTCCAAGATTCAATTAGGCTGACTCAAATGGTACTCCACTGTAGCCTTTCCTCTGCCATAATACACAATGTGAGCATTCCAAAAGATATTCATTCCTGTAGCCACACAGCTGTGGAGAAAGTGTTCATGGAGGGAGAAAAGAGGAAACAATGGCTATAACTAAAGTTCCTAGAAAGTCAGAGCTGGAAGGAACCTTAGAAATCACCTGGTCCCAATGTCCTCATTTTGTAGTTGAGGAAAATGATACCAAAGGAAGGACTGTAGCTTACTCACAGTCATACTGGTCATAGCATCACAGCTTGAACTAGACCTCAGGAATTGTGGCTCCCTGTCTAGAGAAGAGTGGCCACTACACCATGGGGCATCTCACCATCTCTGCCTCATTAGCATTGTTTTCTCTTCTGTCTCAACCCATAACCAATACAAAATTTTGAGTGAGCCAAAAATAAAATTCCTTCATTTTACTGTAACTTTTTGCCAGTATATATATAAGCTCCCTGAAGTCAAGGACTTCTTCAATTTTATCTTAGTATTATTCACTGTGCATAGCACAGTGTCTGACAAATAATAGCCAACAATGTTTGCTGAATGACCGATTGATTATCCTTAGAGGGTTTCCTAGGACTATGAAAGATTGTGATCTGATTATCACTCCAATGTACAGCGAATCTCTTGTAAAACATCCTCATTCCTCTGCTCCCCATTCCTTGAGACTTGCAGACCCATGAGGTGCCACTATTTTAGTCCCTGAGTGGAAACAGAACCACTTTTTTGTCTGATCCAAGATGGGGCCATGAGCCTCAGATCTCCCCTACCCTGGGGTTGAGCATCTATATCCAATGCCTTACCTTTGACCAGAGTGTGTTTGTCTGTAGGGGAGGAGCGAGCGAGGACCCGCAGTTTGGGCCAGATTTTGTCTATTCGTTCCTGTTCAATCTGGAAAAGGTAAGAGAGGCTGGTTAGGAGAGTGAAGATCCTTAAGCCAATGTCCTATGACATGTGGTAGAAGGAACTAGGTGTGTCTAGTCTGGAGAAAAGAAGACTGGGAGAAATGGGATTTCTGTATTCAGTATTTGAAGGACTGTTGAGTGGAGGAGGAATCAGATTTGTTCTTTTTTGCTCCCAATGGGTAGAAACAAGAGTGATGGGTAGAAGTTTTGAAGACGCTGATTTAGGCTTCACATCAGGAAACAACCGCTAACCATTGATGCTCTCTGGAATTGGGATGGGGAATCCTGGAGAGGTGGTGCATTCCCTCCCCTGGGAAGGTCTTTAAGAAGAGACAGCACATCCACTTGGCAGGTATAGTAGAGATGCCTTTTAGGTATGGGTTATGCTACCTGGCTGAGGAGACCCCTTCTAACTCTCAGGTTCTGTGACTCAGGGTTGGGGTCCTTGGAGCCCAGGGAGGTGGGTAATAGCTAATCTTAGTCTTGGTACTGGAGGATGTGGTACAGTAGAATGAAACAGGCAAAGGTGGAGGCTAACTGGACAGATAAAAGAGGAGAAGGAATTGGGAATACCCTCGGCCCTCTGTGGCTCCCATGTGGTTAGTGATGCCCACAGCCAATAGGTATTAACTGTGCCCAGCCTGCCAAGGCAGAGATACACAATGATTGTAGGTGGGATAAGCCTCTGCATCACAGAGCTTTAAAGCTAGAAGGAGCCTTAGAGTGCATAAGATCCAAAGACCTCAGAACTATCTAATCCAGCTCCATCACTGTACAGATGGAAAAACTAAGATTCGGGGAGGATGGATGACTTGCTCACAGTCACGTAAGTATTAAGTATCAAAGGTGAGATCTGAACCCAGGTCCTTTGGCTCCAGAGATAGTGGCCTTTCTATTATGACACAATCATCCATTTTAAAGATATGGAAACTAAGGTAGAGAAGAGGTTGCCCAGGGTTGGGTTACAACCCACTCCAAGGTCAGTTGAATACAGTTTGGCTAATAGTAATGGCCATCTCCTCAGTGGCCTAGGCTTAGAGTTACCTCTCCTTTCTCATTCCTGATTCGCCGGTTGAACTCCTTCCCCTCAATGCAGAGGAAGTCTTCCCCAGGGTGGATGATGCCACACTTGATGGCAATAGCCCGAGCAGTGTTGATATTGTCCCCAGTGACCATGCGGACAGTGATTCCTGCTTGTTGGCACTTCCTTATGGCTTCTGGGACCTGCAGAATTTTGGAGCCAAGACAAGAAGTCATGAGATATACACGACCCTTGAACAATAAATGGTTGTCGAACTGAACACCAAGGAGGGAGTTCCAGACAGGCTGTGCCTTCATGTTCTGCGTGACTCTTAGGATCAGGGTGAATGAAAGAGAGTGGTGGGGATGGCAATTCCTTCTTGGCTGCAAAGTAACCTTGGAGCCCCACAATAACCTTTTTCTGATCTAAAATAGGGGTCAAGGAATTCCTAAAATGTTAAAGCCTGTGACTCACTTGCCAAAGATCAAAAATCATAGATTTTAGACCTAGAAAGGAGTCTTGAATACCATCCAGATGGAAGTCATGCCTTGAAGCAAGGAAGACCACCTTGGACACATAATGGCTGCATGACCAGTCACCCACTGCTCAGAGCTTTAGGAAACCCCCTAAGACACATTGCAGAGACCTGCATTGGTTAAGAGAATGTTCTCACATGGGAGTTCTTAATGAAACCAAAGGTCTAGGCCCTATCCCTAGTTCTGAATATCAGCTATTTTTATTACAAACGAAGAAACTGAGGCCTACCAATGAAAAGGTACTAAGGGACAAAGCTGGGATTCAAATTCAGGCCTTCTAAATCCTGATCTCTACTATGCTGCCTCATCAGGCATTGTGGTAGGGGGGTCTCTCTTTTTCTCCTCTCTTCTGCCAAGCATCAGAATGTCTCCTCCCCTCCTAATTAAGCAGTAATTAAAGTAATTAAGTAATTATCTAATTAAGAGAGAGTGCTAGGCCTGAAGTAAGAAAGACCTGAGTTCAAATGTGACCTCAGATACTTATCAGCTGTGTGACCCTGGACAAGTCACTTAACTTCTGTCTCAGTTTCTTCAACTGTAAAATGGTGGTAATAATAGCACCTTCCTCCCAAGGTTGTTGTGTGAATCAAATAAGATAATTTTTGTAAACTGCTTAGCATACAGTAAACATTTAATAAATGTTTGTTCCCTTCCTTTCCCCCATCCCCATCAGCATGAAAGTAGGAGAAGTCCTCTCAGTTTGATTTTTCTGAAGAAGACCCTGAGGACAGCCTTGGTAGAAAATAAGACTATTTTTCAATTTGCCTTTGAGAATTCATTCACTCAGCACAAATTTACTCATAATAATTTTTAATCCAAGAGAGCATAAATGGTTTTGAATGTGGAGATGAATGAAAAACAAAAGCAGCAAACAATTATTGCTGCCAAGATGAGGCTGGGGCCACTGGGAGCCACAGTTATGCCTCTCCCTCAGAAACTGCCACAACCTAATTTTGCAGAGTAAATATGTAATTGGTGTTGTCTTTGCAAAAATCCTCCCTCTGGTTTTCAGGAGATTCCCCCGAAGGCTTGAACTAAGCAGCTGAAGAGTAGGAAAGATCTTGTTTTGTTGAAAGTAAAGGAAGGCGTGCTTAACTACTGATCACTCTTGTCAATCAGTCTTAGCAGGGATTGGAGAGGTGGAGAAGATGAAATTCTATCAATTTTTCAAGTCAACTGGCTCAATGGTAGAGGATGCTGATTCCTCTGGACTCTCCCTAGGACTCATTTTAGAACCGAAGCATTGTTGAGAGAGGAAGGAGTGGTGGGAAAGTTGGTTCTGCAAGGTCTCGAGTATCTTCAAAAATCCCAGTTTTTAGGAAATATATGCAAAAGGTAAATTCACAGTACAAAGGCATTCAAACTGCTGTTAAGTCTTCCAATTTTATAGGTTCAAGGACAAGAAGGATTCCCCACAGATGAAAAAAAAAACTGTGCCAGATTCTTCTGTTTTCAGGTAATCTAATGCTGATTTCATGGATGTTGGGCACATTTTAGGGCCTCCTCAACTGCATTTGTGATTACTCAAAAGAAAAAGGCCTAACAATCCACACAGGGAAAACCAAGTGGATAAAAAAAATTGCTTATCAACTACATTATGACATGAAAGTGTTTGATTTAGTTCATCTTGGGCAGGCACAGCAAACAGATGATGAGCTGGACTGATCAATAAATAGGAAAAGGTTAATGAGGTGGATGACAGTGCTTTCAATATAACATTTTTTAAAACAGTTATTTTCTCAAAGCTATGGAGCACAGAACAATATGATCTCAGGAGAATCTAAATTTCAGGCAAACCAAAAGTCAGTTGAAAGTAGCATGGTGGGTGTAAGTAGGTTGCAGCATATTGCCAACAATGCCATGTTCATGAAAATCATCATCACATATGTCTCAAAGAGGAGAAAGAAAGGGGAGAAGGGAACAAGCCCTATGTTAAGCACCTACTACATGCCTGGTATGATGCTAAGTATAGTTATCAAGAGTGATAGATAACAGCTGGTATCCACGAAATATTAAGAGACACCAGCATCTTTCCATAAACAAATTCTCTGTGGAAGATTTCTAGAATGACATAAGCAAGATTCACACAGGATAAGTCAATGGATTTCAATCTATTAGCAGGGAAGGAAGTACCCACATCAATGAAATATTGGATCCATGAAAGCATCAAAGCATACAATCATCAGGATGACTCTTGCTTCCACTGTACACTCCAAACCTCAATGAATCCAAGGTGACAATTATCCAGCTCTTCTATAAATTCTCTTGAAAGGATATAAGATCCCTACAATGTGTCAGAAGCCTCCCTTTAGATCTTATCTCGAGAGTACCAAAGAAGCACTAGGGCTGATCACCTATCGCCTCTTGTTCTTTCTACGTGGCTCCTTTTTCTAGTCATAACTTTCTCTGATGATGTTTCATTCTAATGCATATGCATAAGTTATCAATAGTAATCTACCCCTTTCAAACTCACCAACTCTTTTATATTACTATTGAGGGCTTTCAAGATCATGGCATTTCCTGATTTGCCAAAAGTAATCTAGGCCATTCTCCTTCTTCTACTTAATTCTGGTTCTCTCTGAAGAACTTTGTAATTGATTACGTGACATGGGAGATGCAGGCAAAGGACTGTCTAGTGTGGCCTATCTACATCAAGAAGGAACCGTGCTCCATAAGCAAAGCAGAATTGAAGTAGTTCAAAAGAAATGTGAGATGCACAAATTTAGAGAATCCACCACAAATGTTCACACGGACTATTTGCGCCCGACCTGTGGTAGAGCATTCCGGGCTCATATTGGTCTGGTCAGTCACAGTCGGACACATTGTAACTTGACTCTAACATCATTTGGGTCTTCTTCAAGAATCCTCTTCAAGAACGAAGGACAACAATGAACCAACCAACCAACTTAGCTCTGGCCCTAAATTATTGATCAATTATACCATCAGTTTGAAATGTATGTGCTGTTGGACTAAATCAAGGAGTTATACAATCAGTAACATGGCATAATCAGAATAAGAGGCATTTTCATCTCGTTTTTCCAATGTAAATGACTAGACTGATTTCTTTGGAATAATTACATATTTTCCTGAGGATGAATTGTAAAATTTTATGGCTGAGTACAATGTCCTCAGTAAAACACGACCATTCTGAGATCCTCAACAGTGATATGAATAGAGATCAGGCCTGTGATTCAATGGCACAGGGCACTGCCAGTAAGGAACTTCCTCTACCAATGTAGGGTGGCACCTTCTCTGCAACTTATAATCTTGGAGAGTTGCCTAGAGCAGACATGTCAAACACATGGTCCATTCCACCCACAACTCTCCTGAGTGTGATCTGAACCAGATTAAAATGTAATTGGAAATATTTGACAAAATGAATTAAAATGCAACAGAACATTGATGGTGTAAGTATGTGGTTTTCTAAGTCAACATGCGGTCCACACAGATTCTCATGTACAGTTTAGAGGCCCCTGCTTCTTTTGAGTTTGACACCATTGGCCTAGAGCACTGAGAGTTTAAATGATTTACCCAAGATCACTCAGCCAGTATGTATCAGAGGCAAGACTCAAAACCAGGTCTTCCAAGATCCATCTCTGTCCACCATACTAAGCTGCCATAACACCAAAAGAGAATCTTTTTGTTTCTTTTCTATATAGGAGATCCTCCACCACACTGGTGAAAACTTTGGTAAACATATATCTTATTTTATGCCTCATTTGATGTGAGTGTGGAGCAGGTTAATGAACAAAGTGATCTCTGTGGTCATACCTGGTATTAATTTTATAAACTTTTAGCCTATGGAAAGTAGAAATTTTGTGCTAAAGGAAAACCTTTGTTTTTGTTCTACCAGGTCAAATATTTCTTAAAAATCAAGAAAATGACTGAAATTATGCATTTTCACTGGCCATTTCCACTAAAGATCTTTAAATATATGGAGAAGAAAGTTACTGGAGGGCTGATTAGAAATGTCAATGGAAAATGAATTAGGTTTGGTGCCATAGGACTTGGGCTCAAATCCTGGCTCTTTACTTACTATCTATGTGTTCCTAGGCAAGTCACCTGTCTAGGGCCTCATTTTCCATCTCTAGAAAGTGAAGGGTTTCTGCTAGATGGTCTCAAAGGTCCATTTCATCACTAAATCAATGGCCCTATGGAAATGGCACAGATGAAGGGTTATTCAAAAACCCATCTTCAAAAGAATCTTTGTATGCCAAAGATAATGCTTTTCCTTTCCTGTCATAAACTATTATCCAGCACAGATTCTATGATTTCAGTTTTACTACACAACCTGACACAGAATGACTTCTAATGTGGTGTTAATGTGCTAGTACCTGGGTTGTACTACAGCGGATAGATTGTTGGACCTGGAGTTAGGAAGACCTGCATTCAAATCTGGTTGCACTGGCTGTATGACCCTGGGCAAGGCACTTAACCACTGCCTACCTCAGTTTCCTTATCTGTAAAATGCGGATAATAATAGCAACTATCTCCTGGGGCTTGTTGGGAGGATAAAATGAAATTATTTTTGTAAAGCATGTTGCAAACATGAAAGCACTATAAATGCATAGTAGTAGCAGTAGTAGTAGCAGCAGCAGCAGCAGCAGCAGCAGCAACAGCAGCAATAGTGATGGTGGTGGTGGTAGGAGCAGTACTAGTGGTACTAT